ATTCTGCAGCTCCACCTGTATGCAGGCCGCTTGTCCACCAGGGCCTTTCTCATCTCCTACTTTTCATCAACATTTGTTGTGTGTCCCATTCTATCAATGTCTGTCCCACAGCTATGTAACATGAAACCATAATTTGATCATCACTGTTAATAGGATTCTGGTATGTAAGATGGAGAGTATCTTAAATGAAACAATGCCCTTCATCTTGGGAATCTCAGCTTCAGGGGAAGCCTGAGGGGAAGATAACTGGTGATGAAGCATTGAAGGTTAAAAAGCTATAAGGAATCCATAAGTCAGTCTGTGTGTTCAGTATTGTCAATTGGATGCAGAGTTAGGCTTTGTTGGAGATATAGACAGGTAGACATGGCCCTTGGCCCCAGGAATTTACAATCAAGCACTGTGGGTTGAGGATTTTGGATGCCAGACACTTGCATCTGCCACTTTAAATAATCTTATTTAATTGTGGTACGTATTATCCTCTAACTTTACAGATAAGGAACCAAGGTTCAAATAAATAAACTATTTTCCCTAGGTTCAATACAGATAATGAGTTGTGGAGTCAGAAAGTGAACTCAGATCTGGTCTGGTTTTTAACTTTTTTTCTTTCCAGCTATGAGACAAAGTAGCAAACGTTAGAATCTGTTTGCTCATTTCTGCTTGCCAGCAGAATTTCAGGAAGTCCCTGACTCTGTGATGACTGCAACTCTACCAAAAGATGCTTTGAAGACAAAACAGGATAGGGCACATGGCCCTCCATGTGTCTTGTCTGAGTCACTATATTCCATAAAAGATAAATGGCCCTAGATCTTTGCCTTTTCCTGCACATGGATGATGTCTGGCAGAGTTAGAGATTATGCCTCCATAATCTATAACCAGATATACTCTTATACCCAAACCCTGATGTGATTCTGCTTCAGTGTAACTTCTCAGCAAGTTTACTGTGACTCTGCACACACCAAGCCTCCACCACCTGCATATAAGCAGTGGGCTGAAATACCATGTTAGCAGAGTCTGGCAGAACCTCTCTAAAGGGCTGTCCCTAGGCTATAGGTCTGTGTCTCAGTAAAACTTCTGAATAAAACCAACTGTCCTTCTTTAAAAGCTTGACTTTTTTCTTTAGTAGACACAGCATTCCATGCCATGACAGAAACAGAAGCCAAAGGGAGGTGTGTGAAGAAGAGAGCTTGGGACTACAGTGTGCAGCTGATGTGGACGGTGACAGGAGATTAGAGAAGGCAGAGAGCCAGATGCCCTGGTGGTGCAGGAAAAAGCTTTTTTTAGGAGAGCTGGGAAGTGGCATTCCAGTGAGGTCTGAAGTCACAAAGGATGCCTTATCCATTCCACAGCAGCTGAAAGAAAAGGGGTGTTTCCAGGTAGGGTGACCAGTTTAAGCAAGGGCTTGGGAGTAGGAACAAATATTTGCTGGAAGACAGGAAAGGGGGGCAAACTGGGGAAGGGGATGAGAGTTATTCCTGGTGAGCTGCCTTCTCTTAGACCTCATGGTCTTTCAGCTGAGGCAGAAGAGTCAAACACAGGAGCAGGGGTTTCCTTCCAAGAGGACAGAAGGTCAGCAAACTCAGCCTTCCCCACGTGGAGCGGTTGCCTGGGGAGGAGGTTAGGCCATCGCTCCCCCAGGCTGGGGACCTTGGTTGGGAAGGCAGTGAGGGTGTGGCAAGCCTCCAGGGAGGCAGGGCCATGGAGCCAGGTGACTCTCCCTTCCCCTTTTGGAATGCTGGCCAGTTTCAATTTACATAACACAGCTTAATCCGTAGAAACAGGAGCCACAAGGCAGTTTCTCTCTCTCTCTCTCTCACGCTCTTTTTTTCCCCCTTCAAGACACAGAAACCTTTATTTTCTCCCTACACCACAAACCGGTGCTGTTAAATAATATTGGATAATTGCACCTGTCGTCCTCCCCATATTGTGCTGAGGAAAAATAATTGCTGGTTTTCTGCCTTGCCGTTTAGCTGTGACTCCGTCATTTGACTCGGAGCATGTCATTTTCTCCCATTTTAGACTGTGTACAGTCAAACCGTGTGAAAGGACTCACAGAGAGCGGCCCTGCATGTGTGAGTGGGCGCGGGCCTCATTCAGCAACGATTTCTAATTTATACAGCATTGAAAATCTGCAGCTATAAATAAACAGTTCTGACTGGCTTTGCTGCCTACTCAAATGCTTTATTAAAAAAAAAAAAAGGTGCCACCAACTGCATGAGAAAGGAAAACAAGACCGTCTGGGTGTGGATTCTGGTTTCTGGATCCCGGGACTGGAGGTGGGTGAATGGTGATGCTGTGCCTCGGTATGGGCTCAATGCTCAGTCCTGTGGGTCCCACTAGGCCTGGCCTCTCTGGCCCTGGCTCAGGCCCCTCACACTCCCCACGTGTGGGTGCAACATGTTTGGGGATTACGGTGTATGAAACTGGCATCCTGTTATAACAAGTATCGCCAGCGAGTAGATACAGAGGAGCTGAAAATAGCTCGAGAAATGTAGGACCCCTTTGGAGGGAGGATGGGGTTAATGTATTGTTTAGGCAACAAGTCCGCTACCCACTTGTAAAATTGGTTTCACATGTGAGACAGCGACTGGAACATAAGCATGGAAATGGGCCAGTCCCTGGGGGAGCGGTGGTGGTGTCCTCTCTCTGCTTGTAGGGGGGAATAATTTCCATTCAGCTGGGGTCCCCTGACCACCTTCTTCTGTCCAGCTTTGCAAGTTATGAATACATCTTCGTGTGTTCTTTTTTAAGATGGAGGCTTTTGGATGACCAGTTACGGCTTTGCTCTGTAGTGAAGAGGAAGAAAGGTGGGCTTGGGAACCAACTATCTGTGTAAACTTGCACCTGTCATTTTCCTGCTCTGAACCCACAGGTGTGCTTAAAGCCAGCTTAGCTTATACAGGCTCCCAGGGAATAAGTGGTTATGCACATCTCCTCCCAGCCCTGCATTCAGTGGCCCCAGTAAGAGTGTTTACACCATGGAAATGGGCACACACTGTCAATTGCGGCTTTACTTTTTTTTTCTACAGAGAGTTGATTATTCAACCTTTTCAAACCCTTGACTATCAGAAACGCAGTTTACTCAGCCTAAAAATGAGAACATGATACTTTTTCTACTTATAACATTTTTTGTGAGGCTAAAATGAGTGTGATAATAAATAACATGACACTACACAAATATTATTACTGGTATCATCGTTGTGTTTCTGTGCTCGTCATTTTCTAACCTATGGGTCTAACATAGCCCAACATAGGTGGCAAATACTATGTAACTTTTTTCCTTTAATTTAGTCTAAGAATATAACATTTTTCAATGCTGTATACCTTTTAATGAATGTTTAATCAGTGTTTATTACTGGCATTTTGTTGCTTATCATTTTTAATCTATAGCAGCACCAAGCTGTGTGTGTGCTCAATGGAAATGGTTCTGAGGTATTTCTAGTGTTGGAAAAAATATTGCACACTGGTTAGGCATGCTGCAATCAAGGTTTAATTTGGTCCTAGGGCTAGTAAAGCCACAAATAGAAATCTGCAGGCTCATCCCAGTCAAGAGGTTACTATGACTCTGAAAAGTATGTAGACCAAGTCATCCTTAGGGTGTGGAAAATTTGCATGATGCCCTGCGGGGCTTCACATTTGGGGATTTTCCACTGTGACAACAACTGCTTTGGGGTACCTGCTGAGACCAAGTGCTAGAGAGTTTAAAAGGCAGCAGCAGGTGTGGGCAAAGAGGTGGCATTCCCAGATCAATCCAACAAAGACTTGACACTCATATTAATAGAACAGTAGGAACAGAGTAGGGATTGAGTAGATTTCTTGGTATCTGTATTGGTCTTCCCTTGGACTGCCTTGCCAGTTGCAATACTTTGTCCTCTTCCCTAACCATTCAAGTGTGCTCTGTGTTCATTTTTATCAAATTTCTCCTGTATAATGTTAAGTTGGGAAGTCTAAGTACTATGTACTTCAGTATCTGCACCCCATCCCATATGAATCTGGTGACATACTAGCAGACCCAAACATATTTATCCACCACTAGACATTTGTTATTTGTGTTCTTTAAAAAAAATAGTGTGCCTATAAATAAGGCCAGGAAAAAAAAACCACTAGAAAAATTAGAGTAAGGTTCATGAAGTCTTGTTAATCACCTAAAAATCAACTTTATTACACCATACACTAACTCAGCAATGTCAGAAGCCCTTATAATGATACCATGTCCCATCTAGATTCTTCTCCAAGTAAAATGTACATTTATTTCATGAATTAATCAGTGTTCTAATGGAAGAGATTTTTTACAATGTTACTGTGTTTGATGTCTATACCTGCCCCAAATGTTTGCTCCCAAGAGAAACAGACTTCTCAATATGTTTTATAAACTTGTTTTCCCATTTCCCCAATTAATTTATGATTATACCAGGTAGACAGAAAACTGCAGTAGCAGACATCTCCTAACATTTCTAGATGGATGAAAAAAAGATGGATGAGCAATCCATGAAAATAGCTTACAAAAATGTTTGACTTTTTAAAGAAAAGTTGGGGTTATTTTAAAAAATGGAGCAGGATGAGGATTTAGGAGGTCTGGGAGGCAGAAGCCTTTGTCTTGGTTCTGATACTAACTAATCCTTTTGCCTCCTGCAGGAAACTTTTCATCCTACTCTATAAATTGAAGGGTTTGAATGACTCCTAGGTTCCTTTCTCTTTCTCTCAATATTCTCTAACACCAAGTTTATGTGAGTTTTTTTGGCCTTTGGTCAGATTTTAATCAGAGACTATCCTCCATGAAGGTAAGACAAAGGTAACACATTTTGAGATGGCAGGAGTTGTTTTTGGTGTGTGCAGTCAACCTTTCAAAAAACCAAGAGTTCTCAAATAAAGCTATCTTCATAACCCTCTTATTAAATGTAAATATCGCTTCCTGTCCTTTATATCTTCTTATGTTGTTCCACCACCTCTCACCACCAAAAAAACTTCCAAAAGACAAAAACCCTGTGTTTGCTTCCTTCTTGGTTCTTAGAAAATGGCGTGCAATCACTTCCTCTTCTTCCGTGGCTGTATTATGTCACCTGTACAAACAAGAATAGAGAGATACCTCAGGATTCAGGGGTTCCCTAGTAGGTAGACATTCAACTCTGGCTGGGCCAGTGGAAAATTGAGCACCCTTTTCCCAAGGTGAGAAGATGTACTTTAAGGAGTTTTTTAAAAATAGCCACTATGACTGATTAAACAGGGGAAAAAGCAACTCTGCTGTCTTCCTTTGGTGTGTGGCTCCCAGTTAGCCAGTCACCCAATGATGCTGTTAGCCTTTATGGATCTCTGCATATTTAATAAGAAGCATATTGCTGTTGCTTTTGTTTGCAGGCTGCACACAGTCCACCAGCAAACTTTGAGACTTTGCAGATGGAGTTGAAGAGACCACATCAAATTAAAAATAGAAGAGTGGGTGTTCACTTAATTGGGGTCATTCTATGACCTCTCACTGAATCAATTCATCAGACTGGCTGGAAAAGTACAGGCATATGGATTAGTTTTTAGTAAGCTTGTGAATTTAGTAAACTGAGGAATTAATAAGCTCATAGAGGGGCATTATTCTACTGAAATTATAAAATTAAATTTGTAGAATGACTTCCAGTCAGCCAACAAGCTGGTAGCTCCATTTTAATGATCATAAATCTTTGTGTAATCTCTGAAATGTATAAAATTTCATTAGCTCATTATCCTTTGTGCCTACTTTGAAACTCTTCTCAACTCACCATCTTCTTCTTCTTTCCAGAAGTTAGAGCTCTGGTGGCTCTGGTTTGGTATTACCATAGTCATTTGATGTTCTTAATTCCATGGTTCACCTTTCTTTTTCTTTTTTTAAAATTTGTTAATTGTTTCTTTATCAAGATAAACTACTACTTAGCCCACATAGCATATTTCATAGTTCAGGAAAACAGCTCAGAGACAAGCTTCTATGTAACTCAACCCAAAGAAATTCTTTATATTCCCAAATCACTTTACTCTCTGAAAGATAACAGTCTCCCTCACCTCCTCAAAATCTTTCATGGAATCATAATTTCCATAGAAATATGCATATGCCTTCTTTCTTGGGTCAGTCACAGCAAACTTGTAGAAAGCTGCAACCCCCAGGGATATAGCAAATGCTCTGACAATATGAAACTGCAGGTGTTTGGTCAGAAGGCCATGCACCTGAGATTTTGTTAAAGCACTGGAAGTCATAGTAGTTATTGTCCTCAACAGGTATGTCAACCTCAACACCCACATCTTTCCTGAATGATGGAGAAATGGAAGGCATTTCGGTTCACCTTTCAAACCCTGTCACCTCCACCAATTTTATCTTTAACAAAAAACATTAAATATGTTCTACTAATTTTATTTTACTAGAACTCCCCTTCTCAGAGGTATAGTGACTGGTGACTTGAAATCCTGCTTGTCACTGATTTCCTAGAATAGCCATCTCTTGATCATACCGTACTTGTGTCCATCTCTGTGTTCATTTCCCTTGACATGTCTGAGGTCTGAGCTCTCTCTTCTACTCTTCATCAATCTAGATTACCCCAGTCACTCCAGCGACGCCTTACTCTTTTTCCAGATTTACAAGCTTCATGTTGTTTTCATTGGTACATCCACTTATTTTCCATTTTTGATGTGAATTCTCTCCTCCCCAGTGAGGTCTTCTCTGCATTTAGTTCTATAAGCACAAATACAGTACCTCTCTTTTCTGCAGTATATACAGCGGGCCTTTAATAAATTCTTTTTCAACTAAATAACCAGCTAATTACATCAAATCTAATAGCTTGATCAATATAAACTTCTGAAATTTGTTCCTCCTGAAGTCATTCTGAAGGTTCCTAAAACTTTCTATACCCATGCTGTTTACCAACCCCCAGCCTCTTGAGTGTAATTGCAAGAATAACCTCAGTTCTTCAATCCCAGGTGTCAAGAAGTAGAGATTCTGTTCTTCATTTAAGAAAGGCAGAAGATGGCAACCCCCTTGGGTCCCCTCCCACTGTGGGAGCTTTTCTGTCTTCTCAATAAATCCTGCTTTCTGAAGGAAAGAAAGAAAGGAAGGAAGGAAGGAAGGAAGGAAGGAAGGAAGGAAGGAAGGAAGGAAGGAAGGAAGAAAAAAAGAAAGGAAGGCAGGCAGCAGAACATGAAGGCTTGGAGAGAAGCAGATAGGAGTGGAAGTGGTGGTGTGACCATCTGTTGGGGGAGGAGAGCAGGTGGCCAATCAGTCTTCTATCCAAAATCAAGTAGCTAGGCAGAACACTCAGAAAGTTCCACATACCCATCAATGTGCTAGAGAAGGCACACAGGGACAGAGGTTCTGAGCCTTGGGTAAGTCAACTGTCTCTCCAGCCACCCCCCCATATCAGAGGCCCTTCCATTAGGACCTGGAGGTGCTCAACCCCTTTCTGTGCCTGATATCGCTTGTGGGTTAGCTTTTTCTTCCTGAGGGACTTGTGTCCTGATGTAAGCATCCTTGTTTCTTAACATCAAGGGAAAAAAAAGGAAAGAAAATTAAGTGCTTGTGTAGCAGAGAAGGAGGGTGATGTCCTGATCACCCCTTTGCCCCAATCAGGGTAGACAAGGTGGAAGAGAATCTGTCTAGGGCATGCCTAGATGTCAGACATGGTGGGCCTAGCTTACAATGATCTGCCAGAGATTGCTTCTTCCTGTTTGCTTCTGTCATTGAAATCAATATTCCGCCTAACTCTATTCAAAAAGTAGAAACTGAATCTTTCTGGATGAGTGACTGGTCCCAGTAACTGACTCAGTGTTTGCCCTACCCTTTGTTCCATGACACATAAAATCTAGCACAGTGCAGAAAGTGAGACAATGACAGGTCAGACAGGGTAGCCCTGGGGAACATCTTGAGAGCTTTGTGAGCCTCAGCATCTACTTGAAGGACCTTCCTGAGGGCCATGACAACATTTGCCTTGCTGATGCTCAAGGTCAGTTCTCCACAATTATGTGCTTTGGGAGGATGTCTTCTTATACTTCATGAGTTTACATTTGACTCCTGGTATTGTTTCTCATATTCACCCTCGACAAGACACATAAGGAGGGAGAAAGTGAGTAGACAATCAGTTACTGTGGTCATCACCACCAACACCCTTCTTAGTCCAGCAGCAGATATGGGAGAAAACCACATTGCACAAGGATGCCTGCAGGCATAATTATCTACATGGAGAGGAGTCCAGGGTCTTGAGACCAGCTGCACCGGTATCTCTGGGGCATGCTTTAGAAGGCCAGCATCCCAAGCTGCACCTCAGATCTACTGAATAAGAATCTACATCTTAACAAGTTCTCTGGTTTCCCTAAGATGCTCCTTTTAGAGGCACATATGTGTTTGAGAAGCATTACTCTGTAACTATGGCTCCTGACCTGACTGCAAATTAAAATTACTGGAAGCTTTAAAAAAATATATCCATTTCAAATCACCATCGCCAGAGACATGGATTTATTTGGTCTGATGGGCCTGGAAATTAGTATTTTTAAACTTCCCTGGTGTTTTTCTGATGTGAAGCCAAGTGGAGAATGAATACTAGAGTGGTATCTAGCACACTGAATAGGTCTTGACTGACATTTTGCCTGATATTCTTGACCACTCAGTGCTTGGATAGTGACTCCTAACCAGGTCACATTGTGTCCCAGGAGTTCAGAAACAGAGATTCTAGCAAATTCTAGCCTTGGTTAGCCTGACCTCCTATTTCACTCTAAGTTCTTGAAGACATGCTCCATCTCTGTCATTCTACAGGGAGGTGCCTGTTACCTTTAATTGTCTTCAGTTGGGAAACTGGTAATTTTTGCATAAAGTCAAAGGGGAGGAGGGTAATACACATGTAGAGAAGAAGGGTAGTAATTTTTGCTGGAGAAAAATGAGATGACAGCAAGAGTGACTAACTCTGTATGTAGGGTGCTGCTCTAGGCCCTAGATGCCCAGCAAGTCATCTGAGGGCCTCTGTGAGCCCAGGAGGAGGAGAGATTGTTTCCACTGACACAAGGGGAAACTGGAGCATAGAGACCTTAAGTACTTTGCCTGCCTTGCCCAATCTCACAGATCTGCAAATGGCAGGGCCAAGGTTGGAACCCAGGTGGTCTGGTACCAGAACTTTTCTTCTTACCACAGTCTCCCACCACCTCCCTGAAGCGCTCATCTAAGGGGGATCAGATTGTGGAAGGAGGAGAGAAAGTAGGCCTGACCCTGGCTTTGGGCTGACTGTGTGGCTGCCTACATGTTTTCATAAATCCAGAACAGAAGATCTGGAGAGGGACTCACAGGTAGGGGAAGCAGACAATTGAGCCTAGACAATATTGAACTGCATGGACACATGACAGCAGACATAGACCAGGACCACCTCAGGCAAATGGAACTGAACGGTCATCCTCTTGAAGGTCACCCTGTTACTGAGGAGTTGAAGTGCATTGCCAGAGTCAATGTGAGTGATTTGTGGCCAAGTGAGGAAACACCCTGGCTTTCTTGTTTCCTACCACGATGCTCTCGCCCGTTTTGTACTGTCTGCTTTTACCAGCAACTCTCCAACAAGTACACTGCGTCATCACCCTCCTATAGCCTCTCAACTCCCGGCTCAACACTCCAACCTACAGCCATTAGAGTCACTCCCTGTCTGTCTCCAGAACATTCTGCAAAAAGCCCCACTTATACCTAGAGAGAAGAACACTTGGCTATCCTTCCTCCTGCTCTGATTAACATATTGGGAAGGCTAATGTAAATAGGGGGATTTGAAGATGGACAAGACATACTACGAACTCTCAAGAAACTCAAGGTATAGTGTAAATATAAATCCCCAAAGCATAAGTGAAACAGCATTAATGATAAAATGGTAAATCTGATAACTGGGAGACAGAAGGGTGGGGGGCATTGAACACTTGCGAAAAGCACTATATCCAACCTAGACTAACCAGGGAGGGCTGCCTGGAAGAATTGAGTTGAAATAAATGAGTAGTTGTGAGCCAGGCAAAGACTTGGGGGACATGAGGGGCTGAAGCCCATGGAGGGCATCAGTGTAAAGGGAAGACCAGCACTTTGGTACTTCTGGGGCACAAATTTAGAATGAGAGCAAAAGGCAAGACAGGGACTGAGTCGCATAAGTCCTTGTGTGTCATTTCTAGGGTGTGGACTTTTTTCTGTAAATTGGTAGAAGCCTCACAGTGTTTTAAGCCGAACAGGACTTGGGGAAATGTATTCTCCTAGGTTTCTTTGTTTAGTTTTCAGCAATTTAAAAGTATGACTTGCACTGCAATTTTAAGGGATCTAAATTTCTCATTTAATTCTTAGTCAACCATTTGTAATTAATAAAGATATGTTCAGGATTGAAGACATTTATAATCTCATTCTGACACTATCTAGAACTTTTTACCCATTCTCTTCTCAAAAAGTTAAAAATCTAGAGAGAACAGGGAGAGACGCCACTCACTTGCGGTAGTCTGTCACTCCCATGAACACTTGCATATGTGCAATGTAAATGAAGATCCATTTTTTGATGCTGCCTTATTTGCTCATTGGGACCTAATTGTAGTGAAAAATTGTTTATAATAAACAATGAGTCTTGTTAAGGAGAGTTTTGTGTTGAAAATAGTGATTTCAATAGCATTAAATGTAATGAAAATTTTAAAAATTCAATGGATGTTTAAAGTTCACTGTAGAGTAATAATTTAAAAATTAACTCAATACATTATTGAATTCAAAAGAATTGATTTAAAAAGTTATTATTCACCCCTTATCAACAAGGGTACCTGAACAAAACGTATTTGTATACCTAACCCTTAACTGTACTCCACAATATCAAAATAAAAAATATTGATTATTATTCTCTAAGCTCTAAATAATCCATTTTTTCTCTCCACTTCTAATATCTGCCAAATTTCAAATATATTTCTTTCTTTTAAAATATAGATTTGAGGAAGCCATCAGAAATCTTTCCTCAAAATCTCAAGGAGCCAAAACTAGCTAGAATTAGATGGCAACACATATAAAATGTCAACACATTTTTTTCCTGGATAATTTCCTGTGATTTAGAATCCTGATTTGGGGAGTAATTTTTAGTATTCCATTTTTTAAAATGTTTGCTTTCAAAGAGAATTTTGCCTTTGAGACCTTCTAACCAGTCAAATTCTCCAAGAGTAGAAAACACATGACAAATCCATGTTGCATGCTTATTTCTCCAAGGTCTCAGCTTCCTCTCAGAAATACATACTCTGGTGCTGAACCTTCTGAAACTGTCAGGTTTTTTGCATACATGGGCTTATGTTTTCACACCAGTTCATAGATTGGGTGGAAGATGGCACTTCTGCCATCTCTATTTTGATAGAACAGAATGGCATGTGGGCGAGTGATGCGGGGGCCTTTGTGTGACTCTTTGCTTTCCTTATATGCAAAAACCAGGGTAGAGTTCCTGCACTTCTCCTTGGGTAGGCAAAAACGTCAAGGGTATTTTGCAATCTGACTTTCTGGTAGTTACTTTTCCAACAACAACAAAATATTCTGGGGGTGGGGTGGGGGGGAGGAAGTGGAGAGGAGAATAATTTCCTCCATTTTAAAATCAACGGATTTAAGGTGATATTTTTCTGAAGAAGCAACGCGATTCTACCCACCTAAAATTAGAAAGCTTAGCTTACTGACATATTCTCCTTGCCCAAGACTCTGAATGAGAATTCCAAACTCAAGTATAGGATGTGATTTAATCTGGTAAATGCTTTACTAAAGGCTGAGAAGCAGCCAAATGAAAGAGGGATGGGAACTTACCCGGGAATGCACTGCTGAGGTGGGAGGAGCTAAGAGGGTCATCTGGACTCATTTCCTTTAAAAAAGGAAACCTGACATTTTAACAGCTTGAGTTCCTGGAGTCCTCACTTGGGTGGGGGGGAGATCCTGATTCCATTTTTTAAAATTCAGGAATGGTAATACTTTTTTTCTCTGCATCCTGAATTTTCTAAACAGATTACTTTTAGCTTAAAGTTAAATTAGGTGTTATTTGGGGGAAGAAGGGGAGATCATTTGATGGGGTCCTTTGAGAGAGTGCCAACTACCCCCAGGCTCTTTCCTTGCTTGTTTTGGTAGGACCATTCTGAGCCCTTTAGACAAAGGCATTAAGCATCATTACCTTCTGTCTTGGACTAGCTTTTCCTTCTGTTTCCAGGAGGAGTGGAGAAAGAGAAAGGAAGGAATGTGTCCGCAGATAAGTGAGAAAGACACTGACCCCATTTCCAGTGGTTGAGCTTCTCTTCAAGTAGGTAGATGCTGGCAATAACGATGTAGCTGAGAAAGAAGAAGGTTGCTATACCCCTTGGGTTGAGTTTGGCAAACATGGGATATACCCAGGTACCCGTCTCAGAGTAGATCCATAGGACCCTGCAGGAAACAACAAGTCACAATGATTAGGGCAGGAAGAGACAAATGAGCCAATTTTCTCACCTGGATCAGTGGGGTACTGATCACAGGCATATGAAAGGAAAGCATCAGGGGCATTTGTCAACAGTCAAAGAACTTCCACAAACTTGCCAAAGCGAGTCTTTCCTGGGTAAATCAACTTGATTCAATAAGTTGCCCTGTTTTATGGCCTGGGCTGGGCTGTTTTACCTAATCCACTAAAATTCAATATTGATGAAAGAATATAAGAGAATGTAGAACACATCATTAGTCACAGGGAGTATGTGGGAACGTGAATTATCCCTTTCCCTGAGATATATGGCCTGCTGAGACATCGAATCTGCCAAAACGGCATCCATGTGCTGGTTTTCAGTCAGAGAAGTGGGGTTTGCTTTTTTTTATTTTTTATTTTTACCTGAGAGTCAGCAGCAGCATTCCATTAGCTGGGAGGGGCAAAGGTGGAGCATGATTGCTCTAATACAGTATGCCCAGGATTTGATTGTTAACCCTTGTTCTCAGTCATGCATATAGCCATGAATAGAGTGTCAAGCAGGAATGGATGGATTTGCAGGGAGGCTCAGATCTTGCTCATGTGAGCATAGACAGTAAGTCATTTCTGGAAGCCAAGAGAAAGAAAAGAAATGCTAGGAGAGAAGCCGTGATAGCTACGTGAAGCCTAAAAATGCAGTTTGCTGGAAACCAACCACACTGGAAGGTGCCAAAGTCTGAAATAACTTTTAAAAATTAAATATGGGGAAGATGATGCATCAGCCACAGTTCATAATTGGTTAAAAGTACAGAATCTGGAAACAGGCTTCTGTGATTCAAATTCTAGCTCTGCCACCTACTAGCTGTGTGACCTTCTGCAATTTATTCAACTTTTCTGTCCTCCTCCCCTCTTGTGTAAAATGGAGACCCAAACAGCATGCACCTTAAAAAGCTGTTGTAAAGGATTAAGGGAGTTAACACATGTAAACTTCATAGAATGGTGCCTGGCATATTGTAATCATTTGACAAGAGATCAAAAGCCTCTATCTCCATGGAGCGATGACACAGTGGGAGTGTTCTCAGAAAGCTTTCTTTTTGTTTTTGAGTTGGAGTCTCACTCTGTCACCCAGACTGGAGTGCAATGGCCGCTCCTGGCCACCGCAGCCTCGACCTGCTGGGCTCCTGCGATCCTTCCGCCTCAGCCTTCCCAGTAGCTGGAACTACGGGTGCGCGCTACCACACCCGGCTGATTTTTGATTTATTGTAGAGATGAGGTCTCGCCAAGTTGCGCAGGTGGGTCTCGTACCCGCGGGCTCAGGCAATCCATGCACCTCAGCCTCCCAAAGGCACAGGATTACAGGCTGAGCAATGAGCCCGGCTCAGAAAGCTTTCTTGGAGGCTATTGATCTCTTGTAACAATTAGAATAAGCCAGGTTATGCCTCAGGAACAATACTTAAATATGAATACCCCAGGTTGTCAAAGGAATTCAAATGGAAGAACAAAGTTGTGCGCTTAATTAAACTTTAAGATATCCAACTGTGATCCCTGTCATTTCAAATACTTTAAGTTTGTTGAATGTTCTGTGGAAGAGGCCAGGGCTAATATTTAGGGCCAGGAGTAGGGTAAGGTAAAAGAGGCAGTTAGGGGGTAACATTTAAAGGGTCATAAATGTGTATCAAAGGACACAATCAAGAGCATGAAAAGGCAACCCATGGAATGGGAAACAGTATTTGCTAACATATATCTAAGGGGTCAATATATAGAAAACATTTTTAAAAATTTTGTAAACTCAACAAAACAAATGCCCCCAACAACCCTATTAAAATGGACAAAATATATGTATAATCATTACACAGAGAAGATAAATAAATGGCCAATAAACACACAAAAGGATGCTCAATATCACTAATAATTAGGAAAACGCAAATCAAAACCAAAATGAGATATGGACCCATACCCAACAGAAAGGCTGCCATTTTAGAATAAAAAAAGCAGAAAATAACAAGTGTTAGTGAGGATATGGAGAAATTGGAACCCTTGAGCTCTGTTGGTGGGAATGTAAAATGGTGCATCTGCTATGGAAAACTGTATGGCAGTTCCTCAAAAAATTAAAATAGAATTACCATATGATCCAGCAGTTCCACTTCTAGGTATATGTCCAAAAGAATTGAAAACAGGAACTTTGAAGAGATATTTGTACATCTGTGTTCATAGCAGCATTATTCACAATAGCCAAAAAGTGCAAACAATCTAAATGTCCACTGATAAGTGAGTGGATAAATAAAATGTGGCACACGGATAACACATTAAAAAGGAAGGACTTGCTGGGCTCGGTGGCTCAGCCTGTAATCCTGCGCCTTTGGGAGGCTGAGGTGAGTGAATTGCCTGAGCCCGCGGGTTCGAGACCCGTCTGGGCAGCGAGACCTCATCTCTACAATAAATAAAAAAATCAGCTGGGCGTGGTGGCGCACGCCTGTAATTCCAGCTACTTGGAAGGCTGAGGCGGAAGGATCGCTGGAGCCCAGCAGGCCGAGGCTGCGGTGGCTGGGAGCGGCCACTGCACTCCAGTCTGGGCGACAGAGTGAGACTCCAACTCAAAAAAAAAAAAGGAAGAACTTTCCTTCCTGACACATGCTACAACACGGATGGCCTTTGAGGACATTATGCTAAGTGAAATAAGCCAGTCATAGAAGGACAAAGACTGCATGATTCTACTTATATGAGGAACCTAGAGTGTTGAATTTGTTGAGACACAAAGTAGTGTCGCCAGAGGCTGGAAGGAGGAGGCAGTGGGGAGTGGCTGTGGCTTGGACACGACTTGTTTGTCCTCATCAAAACTCATGTAGAAATTTGATCTCTGTGTGACAGTGTTAGAATGTGAGGTCTAGTGAAAGAAGTTTCGTTTTGAGGATGGATCCCTCGTCAACAGTTTGGCACTGTTCTTGCAGTGTGAGTTCTCCCGGGAGAGGATTAGTTCCCATGAAAGCAAGTTGTTATAAATCCAGGACACTCCTCAGGTTTTCCTTTCTTCACACGTGTCTGCTTCTCCATTGGCCTTCTCTACCACATTGTGATGCAGCATGAGACCCGTTGCCAGAAGCCAGGGCCATGCCCTTGAACTTCTCAGCCTGCAGGCCCATGAGCTAAATAAACCTCTTTTCTTTCTTTCTTTTTTTTTTTTTAATAAATGACTCAGTCTCAGGTATGGCAACACAAAATGGACTAAGACAGGGAGTGATTTTTTAAATGAGTACAGCATTTCAGTTTGAGAAGTTGAAAAGTTTTGGAGATGGATAGTGGTGATTGTTGCACAACAATGTGAATAGATTTAATGCTGCTGAGCTTAAAAAATGCCTAAAGTGATAAATTCTGTGTTATGTGTGCTTTATCACAATTTAAAAGAATCTAAGGGGGTGTAAGTCTTGGGGGTCATACAAGTATATGGTCAGCACTTCGTTTCTAGTCCTGGTCCTGCTGTGTCATTCTGCTCCCTCAAATCTGTTTAGATGCTCCTCTCAGACTGATAATGAGGTGACTAATAACAAACAATAATTATCACCATGGTTACTAATATTGAATTGTTTAAGACGTGCACCTCATGGATAGATTACAGAAGGATATCCATGATGCTTCCTGCTTGAATGCCTGTTTCTCATGACAGGACAGAGCAGGTATAAGAGGCATAAAATAAATACCTCCAACTAGCTAGGGATAGGTGTTTAGGGGTCAGTGAGGAGATCTAAATATACTCTAAACAAGTTGATTACCTAGTTTGCTTTGTATAGTTGCAATTAGGGCTTTGTGATTCCCATGCACATTTATGTAAGATAGTCTACAATTGAGGACATCCCTCTAGAGACCTGAAACATTTTTGTTTACTTCATTTTGATCTCCTTCAGCATAAGGTTTGTAAAGATGAGTTCCTAAGGTAAGTTAATACATTTTGCATTTTCACAGAGGAATTGCAAACAAAGTTATAGGTATGTTAACTACACTGGGAAAAGTAATGAAGACACAGAGCATGAGGGAAGATGATAGTGAGTTAATGGAGGATGCTCAACAGAGAGGCGTGAGTGAGTAGAGAGTCACCCTTGACAATGCTTCTTTAAGGCTTAATTGAATATGGAGAGAAAAGAAAGATGGGAGATGATAGAGAGAGAGAGAGAGAGGAAGGAAAGAAAAAAGATAAAAAGTAGGTAAGAAGGGAAGGAGGAAGAAAGGAAGAACTGAGAAAAAGAAGGAGGGAGGAATGGAGAAAGGAAGAGAGAGGGAGGGAAAAGGGAAGGGAAGAAGGACGGAAGGAAGGAAGGGGGAGAGTAATGGAGGAAAGAGGGTACTTTGCACTCAACATGTCTTCAGTCTCAGACAATGTCAACTCTCAACTCACTCTCGCCCCTCTGTTCAGTCCCTTGAAATGATATCTGTATTGTACTTCCTTTCATATGTTCCTCCAGTGCACGCACTTCATGACCTCAGTCCAACCTCCTGCATGTCATGAGGGTTTGTGTCACTGGGCTTTCTTGCTCCCTCCAATCCACTTTCCCTACCCCAAGCCCCCAGTAATCTGGCAATCATTCTAAAAGCAATCTCTGAACATGACACTCCTCTGCTTCCATCAGCTGTCTGATTTAGGAAAATATCCTGGTTGCTTACCCTGGCCGAACTGGCCCTGCCCTGCCCACCATCTATCTGCGGACCTTCGTTTCCAAATGGAAGCCTCGTAGGCAAGTGGTTCTCAACCTTGGATGAAGATTAGAATTTCCTTAGTGGTCTTAAAATTGTGATGCCTGGAACATATCCTTTAATCAATTAAATCACAACATATTTGAAATGGAACCTAAATACGGGATGTTAAATGTACCTTTTTACTTATAGTGCAAACTAATTATCTTATAATTTGTTTTCATCTATTAATGGTATCACCATTTTTCTAGTTCAACTAACTCAGGATTCTTAAAATTTCTTACCTTGCCCTGAAACTTGCTTTTGTTAT